CCCTAAGGACTTATCTATATGTGATCATCCGGGACTTATAGTACAACTATGAGGGCTACATGGCTCTAGCTTTAGCTCAGTATAAGGACCTTTCTTAGCTTGTTTGTTGTTACCTTTATGGCATAAGAGGGGCTCTGACATGTATGATCTCGGCCTGCCAAGAGGGTGCACTTTAGTTTCTTGGTATTTTGTTAGTCACTCCTTGGAGGGGGTGGTTCATGCTTATTGATGGAGAAATCTTAGCGGCCCTAACTTGTTAGACGAACCTTTTAAATGCTTCATAGTGAACCCTACCGACCTTCCTAGGTTGTGGGTCAAGAGGCTAGCTACCTTGGGCGAAAGGGTAAATCACAACTCATAGTGAAAGTGTACAACCTCTGCAGAGTGAAAACTGGTATATTAGCCGTGCTCACGGTTATGAGCGGCCTTAGAACATTTACGGAATAGATGATGAACACTGATGATACTGATGATGAAGATGCTCATTAATGGTTAACTGTTTATGCTATTCTTTATTTATGTTTACCTGATCATGTGTTTATATGGCCTTATGAATAAACTTGTTGCCACCCTATTGCTAAAATCATGACTCATTAAAAGCTAATCGTAGTTAACTAGTGTCAGCCTTTTGAGCCTCATGAACCCCATGTTATATTTGTTGAGTACGACATGTACTTACGCTTGCTTTATTTTTTAATTATTTGGATAAAATTCCAGATGGATACCGAATTGCTAGAGTTTGGAGGAATTAGGCTTGTGATCAACCAGTCTATTGTCCCTGTGGAATGTGGAGTTGTCTTTCCACAGTCTATACTCTGAGGTTGTATTCTTTATACTAATACGCTATGTAATAAACATTGTCTTGTGATATTACCCTTATTTGTAGCTATATGTGAGATTTGACTTCTTGGGCTCACATATGGTGTGTATCTGGTTTTGCTCTTAAAACCGGATGCTATAGAAGCAAACTTCAAAAATTCATATCTAGAGCCAAGAGTATCAAAATTGAGTGAACCAAATCTTATTGGATTTTTCATGAATTGTACTATTTGATAAAAATATGAAATCTACTATTTCGGATATTTTTCTGGGTGGATTAAATTGAGCTAAATAAGTGCTTTTAAATTTGTTTCCATCTTGTAAAATACAAATCTTGAGCTCGGGAAGTGCAAAAATTGTGATTCTAATTTTACTAGTCTTGTATTGACATACTCTAGTTAGAAAAAATGCTAACCTACAGTAGGTATACTTGGAATATGGTCTTCCTATTTAACCTTGATTAATTGCTTGTTTCTAGTGAAAATAAATGGGGTAAAAATACGTACTTATGATCATGCAAATTTTGACATAGTGTTATGGTGCTAGGATGAAAGTAAGAAAAATATAAAATCTATTGTTTGACACTTTTCACTAGGCTAACTATTTTTGCTAAAATAAACCTATACAACTTGTCATTTTTGTAGAGATGGCTATACTTATCCAAATGGCATGAAATTTATATAGTAGACTTTTGGGGGTCATATGTAGGCTATTATAATTTTCTTAGAATTTACTGTGCACTTTTGATAGATGTTACTTATTTTACCTTAGTGTCCAAATAAATTAATAAAGTTATTTAAATAATTTATTTGGGCTTGACCATTATGTTTTCTAAAATGTATATGATGTCTATGAACTGTTGATACCATTGGTTGTGCCCAAATTTGATTGCTTGTATGCAGTGAAAATATTAATTGCTCTATAATTCAATTATAGTGACTATTTTGGACGGTTTCTGTTGTTAAGTAAATTGCATGGGTAGAATGATGTTTTCTGTAAATCTTGTCAATAACAAAGATGTAGATAACTTACTTATCTTTCTTGTCTCAAATTTTTATGGCAATAGGCTAAATGGTTTAAGAGTTATAGCTGTTGGAAGTTGGTCTCCAGAAATGCTTATTCTCTGGAATTTCTGGATAGATCTAAGAAATTGCTTTATTTGACCTTAATAGCCATTGAATCATCTTGAGATGAATATAAGAAAGTTGTAGGCGGTTTTATAAGCTTTCCATAAAGTCCAAGATCATAATACTTGGTCGAGTAGAACTCCAGATATGGCCAAAATAATTAGTTGCTATTTACAGTTCAGGAAATGACTAAGTCAAATTGTAATTGTTTGTCTTATGTGATGCTTGTGTACATACTTAGGCTAATTGAGATTAGTTGTTAGCTATAGGTTCTAAGCCTCTTACTGATGATGAACATCTTTACCTTAGGTTACTAGAACACCGAGTGTATGTTTCTTGTACTATAGAAGTGATATGCACCTACTCAGTAAAGATCAACTAGAAGAAAGTTATACATCTACTTGGTCAACGAATGTTAAACTTATCATACATCTTGCGGATAACCATGCTCATGCGTATACACTTTATCATGTCATCTCATCTCTTATGCATTCATGATACTCATTTGTGCATATGCATGCAATAGATTCCTCAGAAGGAGTGACGCTACTCGAGTTCGAACCCGAGCGTCAGGAGGAGCAGTAGGCAGCCTAGGAGCAGGAGGTTTAGGCGGAAGGAGAAGTCAACGTGAAAGATCTTCCTGAGTGTCCTGACCACCAACCTTCCTCATTTCTGAAAGGCAAGCCCTAAAGCATTCTAAGCCACCTATGTTTTCTAAATATCAACTTGAGTCCATTTATGTTGATGCATTAAGTATTAGGGGTTGATTGGAACCACTTGCTGCATATATTTTTCTTGTTCAGACAAATATATCTTGAATCCTATGTAGGTCTAGGATCGAATATATGCTTAGCCATGCTTAGTCTGGTAGAAGTCGGGTGATTTCCTATCACCTGCAAGATATAGGTAGATATCTGGTCACAGTTGGCTATAATTGCTATCGTGGAAATAACCATGTGTTGATGAATAAAAGGAGACCGGGCGAGATTGTTATAGAGAAGTAACAAGGCATGGAGGTCTTGGTGCCTATTTATCCCCGTCTGTGTCGGTTAAGGACCGATTCGTTGTACGTTCTCATGTCATGTTGAACGCATGCCTAGCACTTAGTTGACTAGATAAGCTGTTCCGACCGCGAAGCCGAGTAGCTCAACTCAGGCGGGACCCGGTAAGTGAAAGTGCGCACAGTGAAGAAAGTAAGGATGTGCGGGGAGCCAGTGGTGTGTGTCCAAGGGTAGGCCGGGTCTGAATTTCTTGGCAGGCTGGTAGTATCCCTGAGGGTGCGGCGCTGATCGGACCCGCGACTGTACCGGAGTTGTACCAATGGTGACCCGACGCGACCTCGACGGAGAAAATATGGGTTTGTGTTAGGAATAACTCCCCAATTGGTTGGAATCGATTCGAGTCGTCATCTCTCCCGGATAGTGAGAACTTGACTGAGCAGCGGCAACGTAGCATTAATTAATGAAACTTGATGGTTATGATGATGCTCAAATTAATACACCGGATATGGTTACTAATGCTTGTTAGCTTAATCACGGGATTGCTCTAGTACAGGTGCTAATTTAGAGATGCTTAATTGAACAGGTATTCAATTTGATGCTAAAAATATTAAATCTCTAAGTTATGTTACTTAAGGTTTTATGCAAAATATTGTCAAGCTAACTCCACCAATAAAGCCTTGCATGATTCTTGGTGTCACTTTATTTTTGTTTATGACGAGTAAGTCTAGTTGAGTAAATTTAAGTACTCAAGGTTTATCTCACCATATTGCAGGTGAAGTTCTCAGCGTGCTGAAGATGGTGGCTAACCGCCGGTGGGCTCGACGACTCTATATAGTGTTCTTATCTATATGCTTTTATCAGAGGATGTCACTTATGCTAGTAATGCATTTGTGACATATATTATTCTAATCATTTGAAAAATATGTTGTTTTCACTCATCGGTTTTGAAACTTAAACTTCTATTCTTATTTATGAACTCATTGTAAACATTGTTTCCGCTATAACTCTGTGTATATGATGTGTATTTGCTTAATTGTGCGATCTTAGTTGTGATATGGATTTACCGTGTTCCTTCGTGACACTCGGCGGACTACCGGGTATATATAAGTGAAAGTATGTGTGTGTCAACGTGTTAAACAGGGATAGCCGTACCTGATCTTGTATAAATTGGACGGTTCTGACACAATAGCCGACTTATCTTTATTTATTGTTTGCCCAGACATGCTCTCATATGTTTGTAACATACTTTGTAGCTGCATAGCATTCTTCCTATTTGCGCGAACTAGAATCAAAGAGTCGTCGGCAAATAGAAGATGCTAGCATAGGCCACGTTTAGGCTGAAAACTTGTAGATAGATTGTCATTAACTTTCACCCCGTAAGACACCGAGGACATGCACTTCATGATTAGGTCAACCCACACCTCCTGAAAACCTAGCCTCAACATCATAGCTCCTACAAAAGACCAATTAACCCGGTCATAGGCCTTGCTCAAATCCAGGTCAGCCTTGTTCATATCCAATTTCCTCTCTGCCGGGGGCGGGCGCACGTAGTCGCAAGAGTGCGGGAGGGAGAGGGCGACGCGTGAGCAGGGTCGCGATGCCGCGCTACTGTCACGACCTGGAGCGCGACGGTCGTGTAATACCTTTTGCGAATTGAAAACGCTGCTATGCTATACCTGAACCAAATTAGACTGCACAATTTATGCAACGACGATTCTCTTCGATTACAAAACTCAGAATTAGTAATCCCAAAAGCAGGACCATAGAAAGCTTCTTACGCCTAAAAGCACACAAGAATTAGCACCCCAAAATGCAGGAACGCACCAAGCTTCGTCCAAGGCAGCCATGGGACGTTGGCGCCGGCCCTGGCCCAGGCGTTCCTGCAGGGGACTGGAGAGCCGGCGGCAATCCATCCGGCCCCTGTGTCTGCCTGACGCCGGTATCATTCTTCGAATTCGACGAAATCTCGTTCTTCATCCAGACATCCAATGCTGCAACAGAGAGCTAGATCTGTAAGAATCGGCAGTGAGGGACATCAATGGAACAGAGTCACTCACTGACCACTTCTTGAGACGGTGAGGTTGGCGTCGTCGTAGTTCACCGGCCATAGGAAGTAGACGAGGAGCCCACGCCGCGCTGCGAAGGCGAGCTTCTCGGCTACGACTGCCGCGCCGTCGAAGGCGACCCAGACGGCACCCATGGATAGGTAGGACGCTACGGACGCGTTGTCGAACGTCGTGGTGACCGCGCGCCGGCCGTCCCCGCCGGCAGCGGCGATTTTCTGGACCTCGGCGTAGGACATAATTCCGGTGGCGTGGCTCCCGTGCTGCTTCGTCCACGCAGCGACCACCGGCGCCCTGACGCCGCTGTTGGCCTTGTTGCGTAGGAACCACGAGCGGGCGTAGAGCGGGAGGCCCATGACAACCTTGCTCGCGGGCACGCCGGCGTCGATCCAAGACACGACGCCGTAGCTCGCCGAGAAGTGGGACGCCCGGTCATAGAGTGGCGCGTCGAAGGCCGTGGCGTTGGTCGCACCCGCGGCTAGCGGGTGGAGGCCGAACGCCGCGACGTTGACCCAGTCGAGGCACCTCGCCACGCCCTCGGACGGGTTGTCCACGCCCGGGAGCGGCGCGTCAAAGACGTGGTTGGAGAAGTAGACCGTGGCGGTGAGCTGGAACCCCGGCGGCGCGGCGGCGCGCCACTCGGAGACGAGGAACCCGAAGTTGGCCATCTCGACGTCGGATACCGGGAACCGCCACGCGACGTCGAGCCCATCGAAGCCACTGTCGCGAGCGAGCGCGACGGCCGCGGCAACGAACGCCGCGCGGGACGCCGGGTCCGCGGCCATGGCGGCGAACGCTGGGTCGGTCTGCGAGTCCGCACCTGCTGCAATGCCGGCGGTGCCGACAGAGAGCATGGTCTCGAGCGCCCCGTTCTTGGACTTGAGCGTCGGGGAGAAGGTGGCGAGGAGACCCGCCTGGGCCGGGTCCGTGGGGAGCACAAGCTTGTGGGTGGTGGGGTGCACGGCCAGCGCGGAGTAGTAGAGATGCGTGTAGAGGGAGGCGTCGAGCCTATCGAGCGGCCGGAGACGGGCGTCCGCGGCGAGGTAGAATCCGGCGCGCACTGTCGTGGACGCCGGTGGCGTCTCTCGGGCGTCGCGCGGCGCAGGAGCCGTGGCAGCGAGCGAATGCAAGACCGCCACGGCCACGGCCACGGCAATGGCGAGGCGGAGGGTGGCGCTCGGGAGTGGGTGGGGAACGGAGTGACCGAATGAGGCAGTGTCCCTTGCAAATTGGTCTCATTGGAGAGAAATTTTGGTGATATCTTGCTTGTGTTGCTATGCTGCTGTTTGATTCTTGTAGTAGTTCTTTGCAAACTACAAAGTTCCTGCAAAAAGCTCAATCAACTACACAGCTCTATTGCCTGCTCTTTTGACTTCCGGTAACTGAACTGCACAGGTGCGCTAATTACAATCCGACATGGTTACCCTGGAAAAAAAAAACTCCTTTGGTTTATGCCTCAGGCATAATACTCAGCCTGTTCGGTTGGCTGGTTCGTATCGTTGCTGGTTCGTTTAAGTGAGAAAGAAATACTGCTAACTGATTCACGTGAACAATGTTTTGCTGAGAGGGCTGGCCAGCCAGGCCAGCCAGCCGCTCCCAGCGATCAGGCAGAGTGTTCACATGCAAATGTGCACTACTACTAGTTTGTGGTAGTAGCAGTACGAACAAGCGGATTGTTTTTTATGATTGGCTACTTTAATTGGAATTTGAAAAGGATTGTCCCCGTGACGGACTGTACCGGTAAAGGGTCCCCGACCGTTGATGCCACCAAGAACAACCGGTCCCAAGTTAATTAAAGAGCCATGATTTTGGAACAGCTTTTCGACTCCGTTGAATCGACTCCGTGCAGACTGGAGAGAGAGATTGAGAACAAAAGTTATATATGCAGCTGAACTGAATAGGCAACTTCGACTGAAGAAGCACAAACTTCAGAGACTTGCAGATGCAGAACTCCAAGCCAGAAAATTTAACTGAAATAGTAATAACATCATTGAAATAAAGTACCAGGGAAGTACAGACTGGAATAAAGATATAAAACTGAATTCACTTCGGTTGAAAAGAATGAAAATCTAATGTTCTAAGAAGCAGAACAATCTCAAGTTTACTTGATTATAGAAGACAATATCAATATTTATATCTTCAAATGAATTTATTATGAAAATAGACTCCATAATTAATTTTGTGATACTTATTTGACATCTAAAATACTAGTTTTTTTATATATTTACTTTAAATTTACAATAGTTAGACTGAGAAAATGAAAATTTGTTTTTTTATTTAAGAAAGAAGAAGTGTGGATTGATGGATGAATAAATTGTCAAATCCAAGGTGAGCATACCCTTAGGGGTTGGTAATTCACTGAAATTGATTAACTAATCTGAGTAACCGAAAAGGCTGGTTAATCGAAACTTTTGATCTATTCGGTGAAAACTTTGCTACTATTTATTTATTAAGTTTTTAGCTAGCATTAATCGATTTAACCAAAATTCTTCTTACTATTAGATTAGACACTAAAATTGTTCCTATTTGGAAATGTATTTCAATGAGACTGTTTATTTGTTTGAGGCATTATTTGTTGCTTTCTATTTTGTTTTATTACTTCATTCGTTTCTTGTTAGATGTTTTCGAATACAATTATGTTGGTGTATTATCTCCTACAAAAATATAATATGTATTACTAACCGGTTAACCGAATCAATTTCACCAAAACTGATTTTGGTCAGTTATTAGTTTTTAACAACAAATTCGGTTAATATTTCTTCAAAACCGAAATGGTGCCAAGTATGAGTGAGCAGCCCTCGTAACTGTAGTGCGAGCAGCGAACCTTGTTGTAGTTGTAGTTGGTGCCCTCTCTGCTACATGTCGGTAGCTGTGAGGCCGTTTGAATTCGAGTATCATCAGGCTGCATATGATATGAATCAGAGTATCAGACTCCGGTAGGTGCAGGGCGTGAACGGAACGCGTGGCATGCATGTGTCGTCACTCTCTCGTGCAGAGGTCCACGGATCACGGCTGAGCTCGCTCCATCGCGTCATGCACGCACGCACGCACACCAGCAAAACCCATCTCCGTGTCCTCTTCTGCGTTACGATTAGGGATGAAAACGGATCGGATATGAACGGATATCATTAATATTATATTTGTTTTCATATTTCTATTCGGATTCGGATTCGAATACGGATAGTGTCAATCATATCGGATATGATACGATTGGATATCGACATCATAAATATGCGATTTGAGTATTCGGATACAGATACGGTATCGGATGTTGAATATTCGAGCTCGAATACGAACAGATCTGAACTCCTTTAAACAGATTCGGTCTCGAATACGGTCGGAAAATATCCATACCGTTTTCATCCGGTTGATACTTCTGGGGCTGCCCTGCCCAGGCGTTCACGGGAGAGAGGTGATGCCTGATGGCCTGCGCCGTGCACGAATGCCCGTCATGAATTCCCAGATTATCCCGATCATGGGCTTTACTGCTCTAGCAACGCAGTGCAAGTGCCACGAGCTAATTCTAACGTAGTATTAAATCAATGTGCTGGCTCACTAGCTTTGCTGAAAAAGAGATGCAACAGCCATCAAAAGAACTACAGTAATACATTATTATTGGAAGAGCTCCAGGAAATACAGCATGTAACGCCCTACCAATTGAACCACCGCACTCGAAGCGGCGCAGTCGCGGCGCCACCGTCAACAGCGGAGTCATAGTCGCGTGCTGCGAGGGAGAGTCGTGTGCTGCGAGGACAGAGCGTCGAGAGTACTGCTAGTTTTCGGCCCCTTACCACTTCGTCTCTGGCGTTTTCACCGGTGGTAAGGGGAGGTGGGCCGGTCCCCAGTTATCTTGTTCATATATATTAAGGACATGTTTGGCATAGTTTATAATAGCTTTCTGAGCTGTTATGAACTATTTTATTTGCTAAATACTTGTTTTCAAAACAGGTTTATCCATAAAGTTGTTTTTCTCCGCTTCTCGTAAATATATGAGTTGAAATGAAGCTGAAAAAAATAGCTTATCCTAGCTCTCTCCCATCCATACATAAAGCTGTTGGTGAAGCCGTTTTGCCAAATAAATTTTTTTTCAAAATAGTTTAGTTTTATCTAGAAAGTTACTTATGAAGCAAAATTCTAGGAGCTATGCCAAATAGACCTTAAGTTAATATTTTGTTAGAGTGCCCGGATGGGTGTCCTCGTTCATGCCTGCTGCCTGGACGCTGGAGTTGCTCGCATCGTTGTCGGCTGTGAAATTTTTTAACACTTTTTTGTAAATTAATTTTAAATCTAATACTGTTTTTTTTAAAACTAACACTTTTTGCCGCGTCTATTGCCATGGCGCGGTGAAACGCCTATGCCGCGCCATGCATGGTAATGCTGCGGGAGGATGACGTGGCATCATCGTGGTAGGGTCTGCCGCGCCATCCATCTTGGTGCGGCTGTGACGCGTCATCGCAGGTGGCGCGGCAAGGCCCAATTAAAAGCCCGCAACGCCCCACTTCGCCCACCCTCGCCCTCGCCCTCGAACGCCGCCGCTGCCTGCGCCCCTGCCCGCCCAGCGCCGCCTCGCCTAACCTCACCTGCGCCCCTGCCCATCCAGCCCCTGCCTGCGCCCCTGCCAGCCCAGCCCTTGCCAGCGCCGCCGCCACCTGCCAGCCCCGCGCCTCCTCGCTTGCACCAGTCGCCGCCGCCTCACCTGCTAGTGCCGCCTCCTCTCCTTTGGCTCATATCAAGGTACTCTCTCTCTCTCGATTCTGGTTATTATGAATGTTATTTTAGTTAGGGTTAGTGATTTAGTATAATTAGGTTAGTGAATTTGTTTATTTAGGTAGGTAGTTTTTAGGGTTTACGTTGTGTGTTGTAATATAGTTAAGGTTTGGTTAGGTAGTTAGGATTTAGGTTATTGTTAGTTAGGCCTTTGGGTTTAGGGATTGATTAGGTATTTATTATTTAGTTAGTTTATAGTAGTAAAGGCTGTCAGTATAGATACTAGTTTTTAAGAGTCGGTACTTAGTAGTGAGTGATACGACGATTTGGAATGGTTTGATGAACCTCCTAACTTCAATGACGTTTGTGTCCGTTTGAATACATAGAAGTTGCTTATTTTCCAAGTAAAGCTGTTTAATATGTCTGTTAATGTTAGTTTGAATATATACATGTGCTTTCATATTGTGTTCCTATTGCATAACAAGTAGTTTAAATTTTGCAATGCTACATAATGTTAATTTAAATACTCTAACCCTTTGTTTATCAATTTATAACAGGATGGTCCCTCCCACGCAGCACCCGTTGTACCCCCTTCTTGAGGTGGAGTACGACGAGCTGCACCGAGCACACTTGTTGAGTGACACCGACGCAGAGGTGCCCTTGCCTCCTTTGAGGCCCTGCACGCACACCAGGGCGCACCAGTAGGACGAGCGTTACGCGCCGTACATACGGCATGCCGGCTTCCTCGAGTTTATCCGTGTTGTCAACTATGGTCTTCACCCCTTGACCCAGCACTATTTACTACAGTTGTAGACAGGTGCAAGTGCCTTCATTGTATGTAAACATTCTTATAACAAATTTGTGGCAGAACCTCCTAAATTATAGGGCCCACATACACCTGTCAATGTCCAACGACCTTTGACATCTATGCATACGTTCACGGTAATTTAAGAAGACTGTCGGGTGTCCTCGGGGAACGCCGAATCATCCACGATTTCTGAGCAGGATCACATTACAGAGTTATTGCAGTATCACAATAGTTTATTCAAATAGATACATCAGAGTAAAAACAGCGGAAGTCTTACAATAACATAGTTTACAAACCATTTGTTTCAAACCATACAAATAAGTTCGATTAATAATACAA